CCCATGAAACTAAAACCAAAATCAAGGTAATGAATTTTGCCACAAATTTCCTTGTGCTCTTTTATAAATCCTTTCTCTTGTTCCTTCCTACTCCTCTCCCTCCTTGCCCACAGGAAACCACTTATCTGATTTCTGTCACTATAGGTTAGTTTGCATTTTGTAGAATTTTATTTAAATAGAATCATACTATGTCTTCTTTTCTTGTCTGTTTTTTTCCGCTTGGCATTATTTTGAGAATTTTTTATATTATTGTGTCTCTCAATAGTCCATTTTTTATTGCTAAATAGTATTCCATAGTATGGATATGCTACCATTTCTTTATCTGTTCACCTGTTCTTGGACATTTGGGTTGTTTCCAGGTTTTGTCTTAGTACAAGCACAGCTACTGTGAACATTCTGTACAAGTGTCCGTATGGACATACGCTTTCATTTCTCTTGGGTGAATAGCTAGGAGGGGAATGGCTGCATCATAGGGTATGTGTAACTTTTTAAGAAATTGCCAAACTGTTTTCCAAAGTCATTATACCATTTGACATTCCCACCAGCTATGTATGAGGGTTCCAGTTCCTCCTGACTTGTTAGGATTGATCCTTTCAATTTTAGCCATTGGAACAGAAATATGGTGGTGTTTCATTGTCCTTTTAATTTGCATTTCCCTAGTAATTAATGATGTTGAGCATTTTTTCATGGGTAACTGTGCTGTTCACTCATAATCTTTGCTAAAATATCCGTATTTTCTCCTCATCGTTTATGGGATACCTTTTGTCAGTATTTATTTACAGGTGACACACATTAGAACATTAGATTAAACATCTACAGTGGCCTTTTTTTTTTTCCTTAGAGATGAGGTCTGACTCTGTCACCGGGGCTGGAGTGCAGTGGCGCAATCACAGCTCACTCAGTCTTGAACTCCTGGGCTTAAGAGATCCTCCCGTCTCAGCCTCTGGAGTAGCTGGAACTACACGTGCCACCCATGCCTGACTAACTTAAAAAAAGCAATAAAGTCATAACAAGGTAACATATGCATGGAGAAATATGAAAAAGATACAACAGACTACTTTGTGATATAGCGAAGTTTAAGCGTTGATTATATAAATTTAAGTATTAAATCCATTTTTTAAATCATTAGCTGGCAGAACCATCTCAACACAAATTGGCTAGTCCAAACGTCGCTTCCAAAATTGAGAGTACAGGCAGCAGTATGCTACAACTGGCTTATACTGGCTTGTAAGTGCCAATTTAAAAATTTTTCAGAATTTTACAGGCTGACTGTTAAACATAGCCATTATTAAAAATTAGTTATATAAACTGACAATTATTAATATATTAAAATCCAGTGTACAAGACTCAATAATAAATACTTAAAACTCACTTCCTAATCGTTCTACTATAGACATACTTGATTTCATTCCATTTCATTTCACTGCATGTCACAGATACCGCATTTTTCCCAAATGGAAGGTCTGTGGCAACCCTGCACCAAGCCAGTGTATTGGTTCTAATTTTGCGTCAGTGTGAGCTCACTTTGTTAGCATTAAGTGTTTTTTAAATTAAAGTATGTACTTTTTTAGACATAACCCTATGGCACACTTAATAGACTATCATGTAAACATAACTTATATATGCACCAGGAAATGAAAAAAATTCATGTGACTCACTTCATTGTGATAATGGCTTCATCACAGTGGTCTGGAACCAAAGCTGCACTATCTCCAAAGTATGCCTGTACGTTTTACGGTTATCCATGTTTTTGTGATTACATCTATGTATCCACATGGTGGAAGTATTATATAATAGTTTGCTGGTGTGTGCCTCTTCCCAACTCTGCATTCACTGACATCCTTTTGTAGCTCGACGCAGTACCACAGTGGGAGTGCTTACTAGGGAACTCTGTAAACACCACAGATCAGAGCTCCCCCCACCCCGCAAAAGCTGGTTGTTAAACATTTACCAGCACACCAGTGACGACAGGGCCCTTCAAACTGTACGGCTAGTGTCCATGATGAATAACTGAGCCTTTAGTTCCATGGAGAATTCAAGTTCATGAAACACTTAACTACTTCAGAAGAGGGAAATATTTTTGCTATCAAATAAAGCTTATAACATCTATTTTCCTTGGGCTCGATTTTTTCCTTACTTCCAGGTTCCCTAAGGTTATGAAAGCCAAACTCTGACTACTGGATAAGGGGGGATGCTGATACATTATTTCTGTGGTCCCAGGTAAAAACATAACATATACCATTTGGAGTAGAACTAGAAAAGATGTTAAATACATAAAAGTGTGCTGGGCAAAAAAACAAAATCACAGAAAGCTCTATCCAACCATACTTCTGTATAACTAAAATTCTATTCATTTATGTAAGGGGAAAGAAGATTAAAATGAGAGGGAGCAAAATATGATACAAGAGGAATGTTTGTTCTAAACCCCAAATCAGCTTTTTAATGGATTAAGCACTTTTTGTCCAAAGTTACCAAAGATCCTGGATGTTATTAGGAATTCAAGTTCCTGGACAGGTTCAGTAAAATCCTACAGCAGTCCAGAGAAAACCAAATAAACTCTGGGGGAAAGTTTTTTAGTGTAAAAGAAACTGCTAAGGTTTAGTGTCCATTACAATTTATATCATTTAATTAAAAATATTAGAAGAAACTAAGGATTTCTTACGTATTAGGGTCTTCGAAATGAAAAGCATATACATTTAAAATGTAAAAGAAACATGCATATGACTTTCAATAAGGCATTTAATTATGTCTCCTGTGGAATTTGAATAGAAGTTAAAGAAACTGTTTGCCTGGATTATAATAAGGTACCGGCAGTAACAACTATGCAGAGGGACGCACATACAGAATAGCAGCTGGGAGGCCCTGACAATCTTTAAGCCAGTTAGTGGCCCGTGTAACTGCTTTACCAATAAATTGGACAAAACAGATAGAACTTTAGCAGATACAGGTTTTTTGTTTGTTTGTTTTTAACGAAGAGGGAATACAAACTCCTCAGGAGATAACGTCTTTCTCTCTTTAGGAACTTAAAATTTTATGAAGGAGATTGAATAATCTCATGAAAACTAACTAAGAATAGCTAATGTAAGAGCTATACCTGTTCTTTAAATTTTAAGCACCTCCCTCCAAAAAAAAAATTTTATCCTTATAGACCTACCTTCACTACATTTCTTCAACTTGAAAATATATAAACCAGCTATCTACATAAAGTGCTAAGGGGAAGGCAGCCTGGCACAATCACTATATACTGTATAATTCCTTTTATATGAAGTTCAAAAGCACGCAGAGACAAAATAGCGGTGGTGGTAGTGGACAAGGGGCACAAAAATGCCCTCTGGGGTACTGAACATATTCTATTGATGTACATGGTGGTTACACGGAATTATACATTTGATACTTGAGGATTTACTGTATTAAGGTATATTATTTTTTAATTCCTTAAAGGAAGACTGGCTTAGAGGCCTTAAGAATATCACTCATGCAGCACATTTTGCCCTTGTCAAGATGGGCCTCTAATTAAGAGAAGATACAAATAGCTAATGGCCTTTTCCAAGCTTTTCTTTCCCTAATGCACCCCACTTCTAACCTACGTCTACCTCACCCATCTCTCCAAGGGTGTCTCTATGCTCGATCAGCAAAGATTAAAGATAACAGCCAACAGAACAGTCCAGAGGACAAGAACGTTTGAGTTCCCTCATTTTCAGGATAAACAAGCTCCAGGGTCCATCTTCCCTTCAAACCAAAAGCAAGTTCCCAAAAGGAAATTGAAAGGAAATCTTAATGTAAATGCCAACCTTTTAATCATCACTTTGTGTATCATCTTCTATATTGCCCTAGTTGACATGAACCTGTATTGTAATTTTACTTTGACAATTTAACAGGCTAAAATGATAGTTTTATCTAGATTTTGATGAACTCTTACTGATGGTGGTTCTTTTTCTCAGTGAAAGATAATCTCAAACATTACACAGTCCAGAGAATGAAAGTTTGCTTTAAAACAATTCCTTCCTTTTCTCACTTTAAAAACACCAAGGGAAAAATAAAAAATAAACCATTATTTATTATAACTGGCTGTTATACGGTTAAGTCATACAAAATGAAATATTGGACCATGCGCAGTTCGTTATTATATGTTGTTGGTCAAGCAAAGAACCGTAAATAATGAGGAATGTTATCAAGTGCACGTTTGATATTTTGACTTCAGCCAAACAATGAAACTAAGTTATGGCAAAAAAGTTTCAAGGGACTGAAACTGTCTCCTTTCACCCTTTAAATCTTCTTTAGATTTTTTTTTTATTTTAGCATATTAGGGGGATACAGATGTTTAGGTTACGTATGTTGCTCTTTCTTCTTTAGATTTTAATAAAAATAAGAAAAATTTAAAAATCTTCAAGATGACTTGAGATTTTAGCAGAATCTCTGCAACATAAAGAAAACTATTTTATTTTTTTTTTACCACTTTCCCGAAGGGTTTTAACCAAGGAAAGAAACGACCTTTGGAAAGAACTGAAAATATCTAAGGAGGGACTACTAAGGTCTTGTCTGAGTGGCAGAAACCCTGGACCTTGGAGCAAGGACTGCATTAAGGTGCTGAGCGGCAGGGCTGTAAGCAGTTCCCGGTTTATGTCGAGTGTCCTAGGACAATTTCTTTCCTTTTTTTTAAACCCTGGCCTGCGGGGTGAGGAGCAGCATTGGGCGCGGCGGGGCGGATGCTCTTGGGTGAGTGCGCAACCCCAGGGCCAAATGATCGAGGCAGAGGAGTCGGCCAGAGACACTCAGTTCCGAAAGGTACTTTCCGGTTAGAAAGCACGCTCACGAGCTTCCTCTCATCGCGACGGCATCCTTCCTGCTGGCCTCCAGCGTCTGCGCGAGGGCCGCCTCCACCACCCAGGCTCCGAAGAGCGCCTAGCCAGCCACCGGCCCGCGGGTCGGCGCCCGCCGCAGCGCGCGTCACGCGCTCGCCGCCAATCGGCGCCCGGCAGCTCGCCTCTCCTCCCGGGCCGCAGCCCCGCCCGCCGGACCAGGCGGCGAGCGCGCTCGGCCGCTTCCGCTCTCGGCGCAGGCGCGGCAGCGCGGCCCGACCGCGGAGGGGCTTCGGGAGAGCGGCGGCGGCGCCGGCCAGGATGGTGCTGGAGAGCGTGGCCCGCATCGTGAAGGTGCAGCTGCCCGCGTATCTCAAGCGGCTGCCAGTCCCCGAGAGCATTACCGGCTTCGCCAGGCTCACAGGTAACCCTCCGCATCCGTCGGCCCCGTCCTCGCACGCTCCCCCAGCCGGGAACGAGGTGCAGAAGCCCCCGGGCACGGCGCGGGGCGGGGCTGGCGGCGGCGCGTGACCCCGTGACCCGAGCGCGGAGCGAGCTGGGCGCGCGCCGGCGCAGCAGCCCCGGGCTCGCGTGAGGCCGCCGTGGCGGGTGCGTGGCGGCCCCGCGTGCTTGGCGTCGTAGTGGTCACCGGTGCCCGTCGGTGCCGAGAGACCAGGTTTTTGCAGAGAACGTGCTGAGTTGGCGCCGGCCGGGCTCTTTCATCTGTTGTCCTGTTCTTGTCTCTCTCCAGCGCGCTCGTTCATTTCAGAGCGGGATAAGTCGTCGTTATCTGAGGCGCCGTGTTCCAGGCAGTCCTTGTTATCGGCTGGTTTTACCCGCAGCGTCTGGGTGGAGGGGTGTGTGGGAGGGAGACGCAGACATACACGTAACACGTATGTGGCTGTTTTATTTAGTAACGAAATTAGGAAATGACCTCCTTTCCTACAGGCTAGAGTTGACCTATCATGGGGGCATTCGAGGTCACCTCTGTTACTACGGTCCTGGGGCCAGTTGAGGCAGCTTTAGTTGGAGGAAAGATACCTTAGCCGGAAAGTGTTCATAGGTTGGGTGGGATATCGGAAGATGAAATTTAAAGAATATACGTAACATCCTATATTTAAGTTCCCTTCTTTACATAAAATAACCCACACCTCAGGATCTCACACCTAAAGGATGAAAATCTCCAGAATGCAGTCAACACTTGGAAGATTTTTGTTGGGTTCTGCGCCTTTCATTGTGGGGGATAGTTCTAACCAGACTCAGAGACTGAGTAGTACACCCGCAGATAGTGAGCGCCTGTGTCCTGGGTACAGGGAATGGGGTTGCTTAGCCTGGAGCGTGCTGGAGATCGAGAGTAGCTGACCTACAATACAGCCATTGGAAGGCTGTCTGGTAGGAGAAAAATAAGATTTGTTCTCTGTGGACCAAAAGAACTAGTACCAAATAAGTGAAGGTTATTGGAAGTGGATTGCAGCAATTCTGTAGATTTTTTTTTTTTTTTTTTTAAATTGAGGCTGTCTTGCTCTGTTGCCGGGGCTAGAGTGCAGCGGCATCATCATAGCTCACTACAACTTCAAACTCTTGAGCTCAAGCGATCCTTCTGCCTCAGCCGCCCAAGTAGCTGGAACTGCAAGTACACATCAGGACGCCAGGCTCATTTTTCTCTTTTGAGTAGAGAGGGGATCTCACTCTTGCTAGGGCTGGTCTCCAAGCCATCCTCCTGCCTGGGCCTCCCAGAGTGGTAGGATTCCAGGTGTGAGCCAACATACCTGGGCCTCCCATATTATGTAAAATTTTGACCTTTCCCCCTGTATCATTTCTTTTACTTAAGTACTTTATGTATTTTAATGTATTCCTCATTTACTCTAACAACCATGTAATCTTACTTTAGTTTTGACATTACAGTAGTTCTAACTACTCCCTTGCAGCTGGAAACTTGGAATGTTTCTTTTTTTTTTATTCTTAATGTAATAGTTCAGTGCTAAGTAGCCATATACCAGTTGTCATTTTTCCCCCTTTGAATTATACTCTTGAATGTATTCACTAAATTGGTACTACTAGATCAAAAGGGTATGATCATTTTGTGACATTTGTTCCCTTTTGCCAATTTACCTTCTTAATGATTTGCGTAAGTTAACTGTTGAGTTTTTAACAGTCAAGAAAGGAAAACGTCCCCATACTCTGACGCCAGTCCAGGGTAACCTGAATTACATGTGTCGATTCTGATGATGACTGCGTTTATATTAGTTTGAATTTTCTGTAGATAGAGGATGATTGAAGGAGATTAGAAAGTAAGATACTGGATTTAGTGGCTAGAAGATTTTAGAAGTGTGTTTTCTTGAAGATCCTTACTGTCAACACATATTTAATTCTTGTTAAAGGCATTCAAGAAACTTAACCAAGACCTTTTCCCATTAAAATCAATAATATTTGGTAACTTCCTCTTTAAAGTTGTTAAATATTTAACGCGAGGACTGATTCTCAGAAATAATGGCAACTCTGAGTATCTTAATAGCACATAGTTAACTTAAGTCCCCTTACAGGGTGCCTGCAATTTAGTTTTTATTGTTTCCTTATTTGTTCAGGAAACATGAACATACTTGTAATAACTACTTTATGAAAAAAGTGAAATGGTCTGTTTTGAATTGGACAAAACAGTCGCAGGGTCTATTTTGGAAAACTATGGAAGAAAAACTTCAGTGGCCATTTTCCACTCGGTCTCCCCTTCAGAATAGATTGTAATAGTTAATGACATTTGGCTTTTTTGAATGAGCTACTCGTAGAATCCATAATGTAGACTTTTGTTGAAATAAAAACCTGGGAGATAACTTTTCAGCAATTAATTGTTTAAAATGTCTAGGAGACCAGAAAATATTTCCATTTTCTTCTATGAAAATTAGAGCAAAAATGATAGTTCATATTATTGTTGCCTATATTTCCTTCCCTATTTAGATCTAGCTGTTTTTTTTTTAAAGCAATTGACTTTCTCATGATGACTCTGCATTCTTAGAAAACACATGGAGGTTCTTAATTACCATATACTAGTTAAATATAGACAGTTCTTATCTGTGAGAGGCAACCTGTCTTTGTTCATGTCACATTTTCTAGATTGAGGCTTTCAAAATAAACTGGTGTGCTTCTGTTCTAAGTAGTCGGCCCTCTGTGTCTGCATTCAGCCCACCACAGATGAAACATGTAGTTAGGCCTAGGATGGTTGCATCTGTATTGAACATGTACATATTTTTTTTCTTATCATTATTCTCTAAGCAATATGGTATAACAGCTATGTAGCATTTACATTGTATTAGGTACTATGAGCAATTAGAGATGATTTAAAGTATATGGGAGGATATATATAGGTTATTTACACATACTATGCTCTTTTATATCAAGGACTTAAGCATCCTCAGATTTTGGTGTCTGCGGAGGTCCTAGAATCAGTCCCCCTCGGGTACAGAGGGATGACTGACTGTATAGTATATTTTGATACTTTGACCTTTAAAAAAGCTTTCCTTATCATCGTGTAGACTTTTAAAATAGAAAAACAAAAATTTTCCCGTTCAAGAGTAAGAAGACGGTTTATTTCCACATTTACTAGGTAGCTATGAAATTTTGCGCACTTAAACTAGTTTACTTCTTTGAAACATAAAGATGTTACTCTTAAAGACAAAGCAATGTCTGAGACTTTAATAATATATTTCCTAGAGTAACACAAACACGCCAGAGCTGGCAGCTGTAAGGGCATTAGTTTTATTAATATTTATCCAGAAGGGGCCAATTTTGAACTGAGAATTTAAAAGTGGAACAGAGTTGAAAACATATCCACAAAAAGCCTTCTGCAAGCATTCTTTATAATAGCCCCCAAACTGGAAGCAACCCAAGTACCTACCTACAGGAGATTAGATAAACAAATTATGGTATATTCATAGAGTAGAATACTGGTCAGCAATAAAAAGGAACGGATCACTGGTTGACTAGATAAGTCTCAAAAACTTTATGTTGAGTAAAAACTTTGGTTGAAGAAATCAGTGGTGGGGCCAGGCAGGGTGGCTTACACCTGTAATCCCAGCTCTTTGGGAGGATTTCTTGAGGCCAGGAATTTGAGACCAGCCTGGGCAACAGAGCCAGACCCTGGGCTTTACCAAAAAATTTTAAACAATTGTTGGGATACGGTGGTATGCGCCTGTAATCCTAGCTACTCGGGAGGCTGAGCCCAGGAGTTCAAGATTAATTACAGAGCTAGACCCTGTCTCTAAAACAAAAATTAAAAATAAAAAAGAAATCAGTGGTGGAAAAATAGAGTAGAAAAGATCAGGAGAATACTTTCTGTGGTGATGGAAGTATTTCACATATTTTTATGAATATATTTTTACACATTTTCGGTGGAGGCTACCTAGGCTACTAGTACCTAGTTCACAACTCAGAACTAGGTACTTAAGATCTGTTGATTTTATTGTATGTAAATTATTACCTAAATTTTTTAAAAAGAGACAAATGGAACAATAATGAGTTTTCTTAATAGGAAAGCATAATAAATCGTTAAGTTCAAATGAAAGAGTTGTATTTATTAACATGTAAATGATAAAGGTTATTTCTGAAAGATATTTTATTATAGAAAACTTTTTTGAAAATTTGGAAAAATACATAGTTACTCCAAGTTATAAAAGTTTTCTTTCTTCTCTTCCTGGTTAAATCAATTATATTTAAAAGTCAGTGTAATTAAGGATTATATTAGCTTTTGTGGAGAATAGTTTGGGTCTTGTTTAAACATTTTCTTCCAAATAGCTATTTTGCATTTAAAATTTCATAAGTCAGCAAATATTTATTGAGCACGTTCTATGGGCCAGGCAATGGTCTAGATACTGGGACATTGTTCGTAATATTGAGTAGAAAAAAGATTTTAAAATTGATCACTAATTTCATGTTTATTGGTCCTTCAGTTCTGAACACAGTTTGTTAGGTTTTAAGTGGTGATAGTATAGCCATCCATTGAAAATATTTTTACTTTCATTTTTTCTACAGTTGAGAAATAGAAATCATTTCTGTCTTAGCTGTAAATGATACATAAGAAAATATATTATTATAAACTAACAGAACCAAGTTGCCAATACTATTTTTATGGTAGCATTATATGTAACCTTTTGCAAATTTGAAAAGGAAAAATTCTATTCTAGTTCCTTAGAATATGATTCCTCATTGAGATACGTGTGTGTATATGTACTTTAAAAAGTGTTTTTTATAATGAGAGTATTTATTTACATCTCTTGACCAGGAATAGGAGTCATAGCTAGCCTACACCACTGTATGAAAGGCTGACTCTTCCCCTTCTATTTCCCTAAGGAGATACTTTCTTTTTAACAGTATCTAAACTTCAAGAAAATTTATGTTAAAATCGGTTGCTACTTAAGTTGCTTTTAAATGTTC